TAGGAGCCTGGGTGGGCCCCAGAGCCGGTCTGGTCACTTCGAAGACTAAAATAATTTAGATACTATAGGATTCTGACGATGGTGTATAATACACTGATATGTTGGGATTTTGGACTGCATAAATTTCTTCAGATCTATCTATCCTGGTTCCACGCTTGTAAGTGTTTGCTACAATTTGTTATGAATGTTTTTCTTATTAGCTCTCATGGACTTAGCCTGGTCTCAGGTGTTTATAATCTTCATGTTTTGTGACATTGGTTTGTCCAGTGATGGAGGCTAGCTCTTTCTAAGGGACCCAACTGAATAGGTTTTTCCTTCACCTGAGGACGGAAACAGATCCAGTTTCCGAAACGTCGTGTTTTTATTTGTTATCTTAAAAACCAGGACGATGGATGAAGTCCAAAATCCCAACATATCAGTCTAAAATAATTTCCTTACCAGGAATCTAACTCCGGCCGTCCAGCCTGTAGCCCATCGTTTTATATTATGTTACAAAGCCAAAGCTGGTTAAATTACTAATTTTACAGTTAGCCAGAATTACTGGGTTTTTGGACTTTGTCAATCGTACGGTATTCTAGAAACCAGAAAAAACAACGTTTTAGAAACTGGATCTGTTTGTCTCCTCAGGTGGGTGGGGGAGACATACTCTGTTGTGTCTCAAGAGCCATTTCTAAGGTACCTAACAGAGTAGATGTCTCCCCCTTCTCACCTGAGGACGGAAACAGATCCAGTTTCCGAAACGTTATATTTTCTAGTGTCCAGAATACCGGTCGATGGACTCGGTAATTCTGAGTATTCTCCGCCATCGTCAGAGCCCTTTGGAATCTACTTAACAATTAACCACTTTTGATCTTAGCGCGTTCACAACGAAAAGTTAAAATATTTTGCATATCAGCTTTGCCATATGTGTCTGTCTACCTGTACGCATGTAGCAATTCCAGAACCGTTTAAATGATGAAGAAAGCAGTCTTCTGGGATTTGGCACCGTGTATATGTGGTGTTAACCGACGTTTCGGAGGAACGTATCGCCTCCATCTTCAGGGTAGAAGGAAAAATATAAGAAATCCGCAGGCGAAGAGACCGTGAGAACCGGTAAAAGCAGTCTGTCGGTTAACACCACATATACACGGTGCCAAGTCCCAGAAGACTGCTTTCTTCATAGTCACCGCCGTGAAAACCTCAAATCTTACACATTTAAATAATGTTTTTTTTATTGCTAGTGGGGTGGAACTAAGCCCCTTGTACTGCGGCCACTTCTGGTCTATTGTACCAGCCCTAGATGATAGGTGAGTCTGATTGTGGAGCAGTTGGTGGAATGAAGGTTGGCAGGGGAACCGAAGTACTCCGAGAAAACCTGCCCCAGCGCCACTTTGTCCACCACAAATCCCACTTGACCAGACCCGGGATCGAACCCGGGCCGCCGCGGTGGGAAGCCAGCGACTAACCGCTTGAGCTATTCATGAAATTTGAATGTTGGGGCTTGAAATGTGTATACAGGGTCTGATTTTGAGTTAAGTTTAGACAAAAATTGGCGAGTGCTTTGCATGGAGGCCTGCCTGTGTTTCGAGCGTAGCCCACGAAATATGTGGAGGAGAGGAGTAACGTCTCGAATGGAAATTGTGCAGAAAAATGAAACACGCTTCGTACGCGTTCCCCCTCCCCGTAAGTGCCACGGGTTTTCGCGATAGTCAAACAGAAGTGTTCTAGTGCCTTCTTGTCTGATATTTCGAGAACCTCTGGGCTGCTTTTGATTATTTTTAGTCTGCTTTCCTCATTTTCAAGAAATCAAACAAGGCTTATGTGATTACTCTGCTCCCTATATATCTGTATATATATATATATATATGTCACTTTGTCCTCCCTAATTTTTGAGGCTTATGAGATCGCCTTTCTGTCTGTATGCCCCCCCCACCAATCGTTGCTAGGCAATGTGTCCGTCTGTGTGTCCCCCACTGGTCCTGTCGTTCTTTTTGTGCGGTCCATGTCATGTCAAAGGAAAGCAGGCGGTAACCTTACAGAACTTTCTGTTTGTATTGAAGGCCCTTGTTCGTCGGTTTTACGCTGTTTATAAGAGAACTGAAAATTTGTGGGCCATAACATAGATGCTGCACACATTTCCTAATTTGTTTTCTGTGTGGGCTGCGAGTAAGGAGATACAAGACTGTGCCTCGGTCTATACGCCGCGCTTCCATTGTTGTGGTTGTCTAATCAGCAATTGAATTGTGTCTTCAGTAGATGAACTTGAAAGCTAAGAATGTTTTAGCAACCGGAAGCGTAATATGTTGTGAAGCCGTGCATGTCACGCATCCGCGTTATGGAAAGGCCGTGTTCTTCGAAATATGACCTTGTCGTGAAATTCCGTTAACTTTTTAATGGAGATTGTTTCATAACGTCCTGTTGCACTGATGTTCAGCTTGAGTCTATCAGACGTTCCGTCTATAATGCAGCAATCAATAACATTGAAGAAAGCAGTCTTCTGGGATGTGGTACCGTGTAGATGTGGTGTTAACCGACGTTTCGGAGGAACGTATCGGTGTACCGGTTCTCACAGTCTCTTCGCTTGCGGATTTTCTTATTTTTCCTTCTACCCTGAAGATGGAGGCGATGCGTTCCTCCGAAACGTCTGTTAACACGACATCTACACGGTGCCACATCCCAGAAGACTGCTTTCTTCATAGTCACCGCCGTGAAAACCTCAAATCTTACAATAAATAACATTGATTCACACTTTAATCCACTCAGTTGTCATTATATGCATAAGATGTTATTAAAACTATTACAGTATCAAAATAATGCATATATATTTTAATATTTTAATAGTTTCAATAACAGCTTATGCACATAACGACCACCGTGTGGATTAAAGCGTGAAACAGTGTTATTGATTGTTGCATTAGACTGAACATTTCATAGACTGTAAGGAGATCGTTTTGTGTGCTCTCACAGTAGCGATTGTAAAGATTGGTGTCCTGCCGCACGTGACGCCGTGTAATCTGATAGCGAGTTATTGATGTTTTGGAGGAATCTGCTGCCACCGTCTACAGGGTAGAAGAGAGACGGAAGTGACTGGGCCCTGAGGGACCCAGTAGGGTAGGAAGAAATGTAAGGAATATTTGCCCTGCTAAGGACAGCTTTGCAAGGGCAGAGGGAACAGATTTTAAGTGTTTTGCTTTAGTGCACACCGCAGTTTGCTGGAAGTCGGTTGTAGTAGAGGATCGTAGGTGTTGTGTTTACAGTGGTGTGGGACTAAGTCCCTTGTACTGCGGCCACTTCTGGCCTATTGTACCAGCCCCAGATGTGAGGTGAGGGTGATTGTGGAGCAACTGGTGGAATGAAGATTGGCAGGGGAAACCGAAGTACTCGGACAAAACCCGCCCCAGCGCCACTTCCACCACAGATCCCACTTGACCAGACGCGGGATCGAACCCGAGCCGCCGCGATGGGAAGTCAGCGACTAACCGCTTGAGCTATGGCGCGGTCTTTTTACAGTGTTACTAGGAATCTGTTTTGTTGTTTCTAATAAATCATTGTGCTCGATTATCCTCCCCCCCCGAAACTTATCATGTTACGAAAACAACCCTGGGTTCATATCTCGGCCCCGAAACTGATATCATCACTCCCCCCAGGCAAATGCTGGGATAGTATTTGAAAGCAGGCCACGTTTGATTCACTTCGTATCCTTACTCGTATCACCGGGCGAGTTGGGACAGCGGTTCTGGGCTTGTATTCCGGATTTGTTGGGTTCGAATCTCTGCCGGATATGATGATATTTTTCGTTGTTTTTTTCTTTGTCCTTGCATACAATCTGGTATACCTAGATTAGGCCACGACCGCGTCTTTCCAAGTCCTTTCCAATTCATCTTTCGGTTCATTTTAGTCTGAGCTGTTTTTCATGTTCTTCATTAAACGCCGCGTCATGGAGGCGTATAGAGAAATGGATGTATAGCTCCACGCATTCTTAACCTTGACGCTAGGTGGAGGCGGTCAGATTTATGCTGGGAAAGAGCCACAGATACTCATTGAACGGGAGGCTGGGTGGTCCCCAGGATCGGTCTTGCCTCTGTACGGAATCGAACCGCGATCCCTCGGTTGTCTGGCCTGTAGTCTTGATTATTACTTGTTTACTGACAGAGGCCATCCAGTTATTGGGAGCAGCAATAGGTAAGTGGAATGATGGACTCAGTAAGAGCGGCGTGCTTCGAGCGTTGGGTTCTGTTCGTCCAGTGTAGGATGTAGAACCTCTTCTAAGTTGGTTATTTAACGACACTGTCAGTATCTAGACGATGTAGCGTTGAATGATAGGATGATTCGTCTATATGGAGCAGGGGGTGGAATGAGAATTTGCAGAGGAAACCGATGTACTCGGAGGAAACCCATGTGAATTTCGCATCGAATACTATCAGTAATATTGTCTTGTTAGATGTGACGCCGTTTAGTCTGGTAGTTTACCGATATTTCGGAGGGACGTACTGCCTCCATCTTCACGGCAGAGTGTTAAGACAAGCAAGCAACCGCTTTACTTCATTCTTGTTTTACTCTTCTACCCCGAAGATGGGTGCAGTTAATTCCTCAAAACGTGGGTTAACTTCTACCAGACTACACGGCGCCACATCTCGAAAAATAGCATTCCTCGTAGTTATCTCCCTCAAATGTCACAATGATTGTTATCGAGTTTCTCGAGAATGAGGTATCTAATAAAATTCTTTATTGGTCGTTAACCTTGAAGACGTGGAAAATGTATTTGAAACATTGTCAGATTGTGTAAAAACGAGGCATGATATGTTCATAAACAATAGGCAATACTTCTGCGATGGTTTTTTCCACGAGGATACATTACAAGATCGATGAAACAAAAGAAAAGTAAAACTACTTAATCTTATTTGTAATAAATGAACATCAGGCCAATACTAAAATCGAAATTCGCTAGCAGTGCATTCGGAAAACCTACGTAGCCCATTGTAGTAAAAACTTTTTTTGTTAATGTAAGATTATTTGCTTACCTTAGCCAATTTCGTAATCTTCTGTGACTTATATTCAGGAAAATGCTATATTTTAAATACTTTTTTTTTCTTGTTCTGCCCTGAAGTTTTCTTCACGAGAAACCACAAATATATTTATCGCCACTGATATTAACTATAAGATTAATTGCTTCCTGCTTATGTCGACTTTTCCTTCTATCTCGTTTCGTCTATAATGAAGCTAGAATGTCTTCTGTCATCCTCTTATATATATGTCGCCTTGTTCGTGTTCCCTCTCTCTGTCTCTGTCTCTCTCGTTGGGAAATGTGCGGCAGCCTGCTTGGCTCCATTGCACCGTCTTTATCGTGACAGCAACGGAATATAAAAAGTGAATTTTATTACTCTCTGGCTCAGTTGAATTTCTGTGGAATTGCGACCTTCCCTTACCGCGCTCTCTTGCATTGGAAAGTGGACATTTCTTGGCTTATTGGCATGGATTGGCCTGACTCTGGTTGTCGGTGCGTGCGGCCCACACGCAGATCGGGCACCTGTACATAACTTGCTATGGCGACAGTGCCTCACACTCTTCAGCCCGTGTTACAGAACCTCAAGGCTCCGTTCTGTGCAGACGAAGTAGCCCCCTGCATGTCAAGATCGTCAGGATGGCCGCAGGACCTTCCGAATGCGTGCTGTCCCCTAACCAACTGTCCGGCAAACAAAGGAATATGGGAGTTCCGTATCTTACGTGCTCTTGCTTTAAGAAGGCTTATGAGATCACCTTGCTGTCTGTATATCCGTTCGTGTCTCTTCATCTATCTATGTCTGTCTATGTATCCCCTCTAATTTTAGGGGGCTTATGAGATCACCTTGACCGCCTCTGTGGTCTAGTGGCCAGAGTTCCTGGCTACAGATCCAGAGGTCCGCGTTCGATTCCAGGCACTACCAGATTTTCTGAGAAGTAGCGGGTCTGGAACGGGGTCCACTCAGCCTCGCAGGGATAACTGAGGAGCTATTTCAAGGAAACAGAGACTCCGGTCTATAGAAAAAAAACGAAATTAACGGCATTGGGGACACCATCTATCCGCTAAAGCTGGCACTAACTTCGCCGACAAGCGGCGGTCGCTCGGTCGGTATAGTTCGCTTACGGACTAAAACCACTGAGGTTTTTTGTTTCTCTTATGAGATCACCTTACCGTCTGTATGACTCTTGCCCCCCCCCC